GTTTCCTGACTCGCGATTTTGCTCTGCTCGTTATAAGGACGCTGCGAGAGATTATCGCGAATAAATATACCATTCGTTAGTCGTTTATTATTTTTCTCTCAAACACGTGAATATGTAAATGTGTCTTTTCGCCACGTGTAGCGCGCGATGACATTCATGATGGATCCTTCACGCGTCTACCCTAGGTATTTCTAGTGAGAGAAATAAGATTTGTTGACGAGGGTCTCCGTAGGACTCGTAAAAAAGGCTATCCATTCTATCCGTTCCCCACCACGAACCACAGGAATCCGATGATGAGATATGAAAAAAATGAAAAGTGATATCCGCGTTAACAGGAGACCATCATCGTCGCGGAGTTTGTCGGCGGAAAAGGCCGGCTTTTACATTTCTTCGAAATCTGTCACTTTAGACCGGAATAACTCGACGTTCGAGTTTTCACACATATCAATAATTGCAAACTGTTTGTAATAAATATCGCGAAACACATTATTCGATTTCAAGCACAGACGTATAGAAAATTTCTGCTCCCGCGCGAAAGTGACGTTTCGTAATTTGCTATTTCCGCGAAACTTTGTAAAAAAAATATATAACAAAACGATGGAAAAATATTGGTAAAAAAATATGATATACACCGTCACGTGTATCATCGGAGAAGAATCGAAAGCGTCGAGCAAAAGGGTCTTTTCATCAAGGAATAGAGACGACACACATATATATGCACAACACACACACACAAAATACACCCGTGTGCAATAACGTAGATATAGACGTACGTAGCTTCGTGTTCCTCGGTGGCGTCATAATGACGGCAATTAGTTTCGCTCCATTGAGTTCTAAATGCGGAGACTCGGTCATCAGGGGTGCAGAGCACCCGAGGAGGCTTCGAAGGATCTCTTCGTGTCTGGCAGGAAGCCGCGGCGCGGTTTCTCCTGCGGTTTCATCCTACTATCCTGGCCGCTGTCGCCGTCTTTCTTATTAATATGCTAATTTTGCACGAGAGCATCGGCCCCAATTACGGAACCGAGGTCCCATTCGCGATCGCGTCCTCTCGGGAACCCGGATCGTCATTTCTGACATCGACGTCGTCCAGGGTGTTCCACGGATTACGGCCACGTGTAATACGAAACACCTGCGACCAGGAAAGTATACGGCCGTGCACACATATGCATGTATATGCGAAATGCATTCATCCCTCGGGAGGCGGCAAGCCTTCCAGATGGCGAAGAGATAGAAGAAACACGAATCGTTAAGTTCGACGGAGGAACGTATGTATACATATAGGGTCGTTTATTTTCGTTCGCAAGTCCGACATCGACGGTTTCAATTTGTCATACAATTATATCCTTGTTCGATTAATCAAAGTAATTTGATAATAAAAGAATCTCTCATCTATACGTGTATTTTTGCGTAATATATATTTCTCTTTTATCAAATTTCAAGAGTCGTCGATAATTTTTAGCTCGTTCAACTTGCAACAACTCTCATTTCAGTTTGTCCAACGTAGCTTGAAACATGCTTGTTGAGATATACGTATAATTAATGCACCTTGCATGCGCGAATGAACGAGCGAGTTTGATTCCATTGCGGATCGACACCGCTCTTTTGGTTCCAAGGATGCGGACTCGTCCCTGAAGACGGTTCCAGAAAGATCGGGGTTACATCAGGCCTCAGGATCGCTCATGAGTGCCTAATCGGTCGCCCTTTGTTAATCCCCCGGAGGGTAAAAAGATTTGCCGCTTCAGCGGCTTTGAAAGAAAGTGGGACTGCCAGCTGATCAGGAGTGCACGAGAAGACGGAGGCGACTTGATCAACGAGTTCTCTCACTTATTGTTAGCTCTACGGTTAACTCTCACTCGGAAAGTTGCGGTATCCGATTACATCTGATTAACTTTAGAACACGTAGACCGGACGCAACGTGCTCGAAGAAACTACTCTGTGTCACGTTGTAACAAAGTTTTCCATCCAGTGTTAATATTTCGATTTTCAAAAACACGATCTACACTTCATTCCTCTCAGCCATAGAGCCGCACGCGATGTTATTGCGTTAATTAAGAAATTTTCCAAATTTTCTTTCTTAATTATCGCAATAACATCGCGTGTGGCTCTATGGCTGAGAGGAATGAAGTGTAGATCGTGTTTTTAAAAATTGAGGAGCCGACTTAATATTCTTATTATTATTTTCGATTTTCATTCTTCTATTTGTGTTAAATGTTTAATTATGTAATTATATATGTGATACGAATTCTTCGTTGGAGACAATCTCGCGGAGGAACGAAAATTGACAGCAATCTGACAGCAGAGACGTCGGCGTTAATCGAACGAATGTCCGCGGTAGATGAGCTCGTCCTGTGCAAGCGGACGATCTGCATCCCCGTGTTTCATTCTTCGCGACTGGTCCTATACCGCTTCGGCAGCCATTTGATACCAAACTCAGACTGCATCCCATCAGGGTATCATAAAGGCGACTTGCATCGCGAGGGTTCCGCGCGAGTACGTCAAACCCACTTGATCCGATACGGTCCACCAGGTTCGAACAATATTCGTCCTGGCCTCCAAGGATAGCATAAAAAGCGCGACGGTTCGCTCTCTTCCTCGAGAGAGAGAGAGAGAGAGAGAGAAAGGACGAGAAGACTTTCGATGGGATTCCGCCACTTTCGCGCGATTAATAAAATGACGTGAGAGCGACTTCGCGGTCGGTTCGTGAGTTTTTACGAGGAAGGAACTGAACCGGCTGGCGCATGCGATTAGGAGTATATAAGACGAACGTGACACGTGGATAGGAAGGCCGTGGTCTTGGCGAACACCGTAATCGGTCCCGGACAGTCTGGATAGCGTCGATTTGGCCTCACATGATCAGGAAAGCATCTCGACGAGGTGGACGACACACGGTGGCGCGACACAGGGAACAGGAAACGAGTAGGCGTGAGTTATGACGACGATGTGACGAGCGAGGGCGAGCTTTAAATGCTTGCTCGAGCGCCGCTTTTGCCCCGTGCGGGTCTAGCTTGGGACAAACGCGGGAGAGATAAATGCCAAAAGCAGCGAATAGATAAACAACCTTATGGGGATCTTAGGAGCGGACAGAAGGTCGAACGCGTGCTAGAGCCGCCCTATGCCGAGGGCTCTCTCCTGCCTCTCGAGTAAAGGCCGTTCGCCGCGGGGATCAGAGAAGCTGGAAATGAGACGACTTCTCCGAGAGCCGTCAAACCGACACGTCAATCGTTCGTCGCGGAAAAACGTGTCGTTTGTACGAAACATTTTTTAAATATATAAAAATAATCTTTTTTCGTATATATATATCTTTTATAAATGTGTATATCTCCAAAAAATTCTCTTATATAATATACATGTAGAAAATTTCATTCAGAATAGAATAGGTGTACAGAGAGAATTTTTACCCTGAAAATCATGGTAATCGTGAGACAACATGGTATTGGAAGAATTTTATAAGAGTTTCTCCGATTAAATATCCATCAAAATGAAAAATAAGATACGAAATATATTCGATTAATTTTACTATATGTACATATATTGGTATTTTTTAATCGCGGTAAATATTAATCACACACACAGAGAGACTTTTCTAAAATTTTTCCAATACTACAATATATTGTCTCACGATTATCAGGATTTTCAGGGTAAAATCTTAGAAAGTCTAAAAGAAAATTCTCTCCGTGTAATAATATAAATTTCATATACATATATTATATGTGTATATAAATTTATAAATGTGTATATCTCGAAAACAAAATATATTTTGTGGAATTCTCAGTTTAGTTTATTTTAATTCATTAAAAATCTCTTATTAAATATATATATATAGAAATTTTTCATTCAGAATAAAATATAATAATATAGATTTTATATTCTCTTTTCAAGAATATTTCGATTAACGAGTGTCTATACTTTGAATAATAATTTTCTTACCTTATAATTAATTTTAAAAAATCTTGTAATCATTTTTTGACAAATAGACAATTATTTAGCTAAAAGAAGAGATGTAAAAATAATCGGTCGCGCGACCGTCTTTTTTCATTCGAGAGGAAGAATAGAAATCTGTCTTGATAACAGGTTATATTAATTATAAAGTTACTCGCTGAGTCACAATCGAAAAGACAAGTTTAAATTATTTATTTGTGCGATATAATAACATCGTTAAATCGATTATGTGGTTGAAAAGATTCAGACAAGCCATGGAATCGGCGCGAAAAACGCGAACCGGAAGGAAATTACGAGCCGCGGTGTTACATGGATCGCGAAATTTAAAATTGGATTATATTCCCCAGGAGGCGATTCAGCCGACGCAGGTCCTTTAAAGAAATACCTTCCGCATAATATCGGTCATTTAATCTTAAACGATGTCTGTAAAAAAAATTTTTTTTTGAACACACAAGAAAGAGAATAAAATTATTTCCCATAGTTTTTTTAATGCGAAATAAGATTTACAATTCCTTGTAATTGATATGTGACATGATTGTAGGAATTTGAAATCGTATTCAGCATTGAAAAGACTCCTGAGAAATGATAATTTGATCTTTTATGAGTGTTTTATACGTGTTTTCAAACTCTATAATTCAATTTGCGACTATTCTCGCTGCAGCTCAAGCGATGCAACTTCCTAATATACTCCAAGTAGAATTGCAACTTTTACATCTTGCATATATACAGGATAGCTTGAAAATATTTAGCGAAGCGAAGATCTCTCGCATCATGTGTTATGTTATACGATATCGCGCGGTATCTAATCATAGAATTTATCGCGTGAATATACTTGTGAAAATTTCGCTTTCACTTCGGGAAGTTCCGAAGATCAAATGTCCGTGGCTAAAATTCATTTCGCTTTCTCCGCTCACGTCCCTTTTTCCTCTCCGCGAAAGGTGCGCGTGGACGTGCGCTTCTGCGGACTGACCGGAAGCGACGCGCTCCTGTGGCGCGGTGCGCATCGCGACATCCGGCCGATCGCGGTCCTCGGTTACGAGGTGTCAGGCACGATCCTGGAAATGGGCAGACTGGCACACGAGCGGACAGGCTATCAGCTGGGCGAGAAAGTCGTCGTGCACAACTATCCCGTCTGCGGTGGTTTTGCCGAAAGCTGTCTAGCTCATTACGAAGTAGGGAGGTATTCTCTACCTTAAATGGGATATGTTGATTTTTTTTTTCGCCGCGAATATTTCGGGTAATTGCGATCAGGGTGTCTAGGAAAATTTGAAAACAAAATTTAAAGACATTCCCAGGACATTTCAAGAAAAGCACAATTTTCCAATAGTATTATATAATAAAGATGTTGTACAAGAAACTGAAACATTTATTTTCTTTATCGAGTCGATATAATTGCATGTTAACGAATGAAAATTAATATATGCATTACAAATATTCGATACAATATTTTCTTATATTTGAATGCTTAAAATCTATTATAAATAACTTATGCGTAACACATATTTTTGGACTCTTAAATGAAAAATATATTGTATTATTTACAAAGTAAGATGAAATATTTTTGCTCGAATAGTCTCAAGGATCTACAAAAATTGAAGTACATTTCAAGGATTTCAAAAACGGCTAGACACCCTGTGCGATATTTATGAAATTTTATGCTGACGGATATTCGCGATTTTATCATTTCTCATACGCAAAGAATCCCGAAAGATTCATCGAGTAATTGTTACATAGGACGTGTTTAGATTAACAGAAAGAGTGTCTCTGAAAGACGCGACTGTCACGGACGATTATTTTTCGGCATTACTGACGATGGGTCGTCGAGCTCGCATTCAGAAAAACGAATATTTTCTCGTTAACGCGGAACGTTCTCGTTCCGCTCTAGCTGTTATCGATCTCGCCGTTAGAATATTCGGAGCAAAGGTATAAATTGGCATTTTCCATCCTTCGATTTTACACTTGAGTAATAAAAAATGAAAATTACACGCGTGCGCATTTTTCTTCGCGAAGAGTTTTTGTAACAAATATTTTAATCGACATAATAAAAATAAAACGCTTCAATTAATATATCGAAATTTTCATCCTTCGTCTCGTGAATAATTATTTAAGAACCTGAAGACGGACTTTGTCTTTCATCCCAGCCGATAGCTCTGTGCAACGATGTCAGGCGAGCCGAGATGTGCACCGACCTCGGCGCAGAGGTCGTGTGTGATAAAAACGAACGATGCTTGCCGTATAAATTAAGAGAACTCACCGGGAAGGAAGAGGTGCGGGTGTTGATCGAGACCGAAGGCGGGCCGTATTTTCGGAGTGTCGTCAAATGGTGCGAAATCACGATGTTACGAAATTGCAAGTTCTTTCTCTACAGTGATCGTATAGGACAATATAGTACTGGAAGAATTTTATAAGAATTTCTGTGATTAATATTTACAATAAAAAATATTAATATGTACATATAGTAAAATTAATCAAACATATTTTGTATCTTATTGTGTGGTAGATATTAATACTTTTATCAGAAAAACTCTTATAAAATTCGTCCAATATCATATATTACCATGACTTTTTTCAAGATAAATTTCAAGAGAAAATTCTCTCGGTGTAAAAATAATAGAGAGCTATGTTAGAAATCGCATAAAATTTTATATACATATTTACGAATGAATTGCCTTCTCTAATAATTATGGCAAACTGTTGCATCTGCTATTGTGGTGTCACATACATATATTTTTTTATAGCTTAAAGCACGACGGCCTAATCGCTCTTCTCGGCGATGCTCGAGATAAACGGCATCTCGATCTTTACCTCCTGTCGCCGAATTTCACGATATTCGCGGTCGCCGCGGAACATTACAAGGTCGCCGACGCACTGGTGTACAGGTGAGCACCGAGATTTTCAAGATCCTCGCAGAAGACACAAAGATCTCGCACAATAATAGAAATGTACCTTTCTCACCCGACAGAGAGACTGTGCAACATCTGCTGGATTATTACTCGGAACGCGCGATTCGTCCTCGTATCTCGGCGATTTTCGGTCTGCATCGCGTCAACGATGCGTTCGAGTATTACACGACGGTGCCGAGCGGAAAGGTGTTGATCGACATGAAGGATCTTGAGCGGATAACCATGTGCGACGAGTCTTAATTACCGCGATAAATCAACTTTGCGGTTCGTCCGCCAAAACGCGCGTTTATTTGAAGTCGCTCACTTTGATCGCGAGATTTTCCGCGAAGGGGCAGTAGCATCCAGAGTGTTACAGTCATGTGACTCTGAAAAGCTGCGCGCGATTTTTAAACTTTGAACTGGAATATCGATAAATATAATATTTTTAAATCGATTTCTAATTTTAATCAATTTTATATTTGATTTAATAACCCGTATAATAATTTGTTATCCTGTTATTTCGTATATGCACGTAATAAGTCGTCATTCTCAGAATCAATTTTACCAACGTCGATTATATCAAGTTCTCCATTGTCTGCTCCGGATAAAGTACGTTTCCTCAAAATTAATCCGTCAAAATATCCACATAATATACATTCAAAGGGACATAAAAAAATGTGAAAAATCAATCAGCAATATTGAAGTCTCCAAGAATGATAAATAATTTCGAAACGCGCAATTCTCGATATATATATTCCTAGATACGCGCTATCGCTTCGACCGATCCCGCCGCGAGATGACGGCACGCTGCGCGAAAGGCTCTCGCTATCGAGCGCGACGAATGCAACCTCGCGGCCGGTGCAAGTTGAAGCGGAGCGGCAGCGCGTGTCCGTCTCGGCTCCGCGATTAACGCGCGTCGCACACGTTGTCGTGGTGCACGGCTTCCCTTATCCGCGAGGAATCCGGGCGCGACATATCGCGGCATCCGTGTGTCTTCCCTCGCAGTGCGCGTCTCGGTACATACAACATCTGGGCGCGTGCGATACACATTATAACCCGCTGACTTCCTCTCCGTCTCTCTTTCTCTCTCTCCGCTCGATTCGAGGAATCGCGTCCGTCCTCGCGAAGTGACGGTGTCGTCGCGCCGCGCCTTTCTCGCACGCGACGTTCGCGGAATTAGCACTCGCGCGCGGTGGTGCGAGAGAGAGAAGGAGAAAGAGGGAAGAGAGAGAGAGAGAGAGCGAGAGGGAAAAGAGGGGGCGGGAGAGAAGGAACGAGCGAGACAGTGTCGCGTCGCGACGGCTCTTTTCCGGTTTCCTCGCGGCTCGCTCGTCGTCGCCGCGGCCGATTATCCTAGTTCGTTCGATACCGCGCGCTCGTTTCCGCCGTCGATATCTCTCGCGCTGTCAGTCGCGCGAGTGATACTAATACATGCAACCTGTTGTCCTCTCGCGGCACGTTCCGTGATACGCAGCCGTGCTGAGCAACGACGTGCTGGCGGCCGACCTAACCTTGCACCCGACCTGGGAAACGCGCCGGCTCATCGACGCTCGGAGCTGACGGCAGTATGAACGGGTAAGCCGACATTCTCTCGATTCCTTACGAAGCAAAACTCGTTTCGTAGCGCGATGAAAAAAAAGAGGAGAGAGAGAGAGAGAGAGGGAGGAGCAATAAATTAAATGAGAGTGATAGTGGAATATATGCATATGACTTTGAAGGAGTTGAAGGATTTTTCAAGCATGCAGAAAGAAAGAGAGCGCGTTTTTAATTATTTGGTAAAGGTATTCCGGGCGAAATAGCTTCGAAAAATATGCAGCTATAATTTTGTTTATATCTTCAAATATATAGCTGTACATGCATGGAGAGAGATTTTTTTTTTTTAATTTAACCTGAAAATCGGGAGACAATATGATATTGGAAGAATTTTATAAGGTTTTCTGATTAATATTTACCGCACAATAAAAAATATGTATTATGTAAAATTAATTAAACGTGTTTTATATCTTAATGTGATGTAGATATTAATATTTTTTATTCCGATAAATATTAACCAGAGAAACTCTTTATTCTTTATACCATATTGTCATACGATTATCACGACCGAATTTTCAGGGTAAATTCTAAGAGAAAATTCTCTCTGACAAATGATTTTGCAAATGAGTAGATATTTATTATTAAATAATATTGATATAAATTATGCATATAACAGATGTAATAAATCAATAACTGATCAGTCGAGATAAATAAATATAGTTTAGTTGACATTTTTCATAAAAATGACCATTTAGCGTGACAGAAGAAATAAAAAATTAACGTGACACAAAAAGGAGAGAATTTAAAACATGGAGAAGGGTTATCAGAGCCGCGGAAAAAAAAGAGAAATACGCATATATCAGGAGGGGATATATGAAGCAGAGGATTTTCTTTATCACATGTCATTCCTCTTCCTTTCTCTCTCTCTCTCTCCATCGTTTTCCGTTCCTCTTTTTCTAGCCTCGCCTTTGCGAAACGTAACATGCGGAGAGCAGCTCTCGTCCAGCTCTCTGTGCACACCGCGATCGCGTACAATTTTGCGAGGTGAAAAGAGAAATCCACCATTGAAACTTAATTAAGCAACGCCAAAGTCCTTTAATCTTCGATATTGCGCAGCAACGACTGTTTAATCACTCGTGTGAGCTTGCTTTTTTAAAAATGTCCTTTGCAATATATTCACCGTGCCGATTCGGCCCGATATAATCATCCCTTTTTCCACCAATCATGTTCCATTTTTAATTACATAAAGCGAATATCAAATATACGCGCTTCGTAGCAATCGCAGTAACATTCGCTCGCTTTGCGCTAATTCTCGCAGAGTGCAATTTCCTCGGCGGAAGAGTTTTTATAATAGTAAAAAAAAAAAAAAAAAAAAACAGAGAAAGAGAAAAAGAGAGAGAGAGAGAGAGAGAGGACAATTAGTTTCGTACCGCGTAAAGAATCGCAAATTCTCACGAAAATCAAAGCGTATTTATCGTGAAACATTGCGGAAATATGTTTATATGGATGTTATTCTCTCTCCTCGCTCTCTCTTTCTCTTTCAGCTTCCGGTTGGCCAAGCTTTTAGCCGTGTTTATAGAATCCCGGCGTGCTCCGCTCGCATCTACGCACATTTTATGAATAATATTCGATTACACCGCGCAACAGTATCCGATATATCGTATACAACACGCGTTTATTCCGCGCCGTTGGCGTCCAATGGCTTTTGCGAGCAAACGAACGCGCTTTGCACATACACACATACATATTATTTCTGTGTACATATAATCCCATTCTACTTACATTTCGCCATAGGCGGTACGTGGAACACCGTAAAACCATCGCTGCTCGTAATATTTTTGTGCAAAATAAATATGAAAAACTCGTCGGCCCGACGACTTTGGACTCGTCAAGCTTTTCATATTCTCTTTCATATTCTTGCCTAAGATTCTCATTTCTATTCCACACGCTTATTGTTGACGCTAATTGTATAGCTGTCAGATCTCTCCTCGGCGTTACATGTGAGATTTGACAAAAGTAAGTCATACGTATATCTCAGAGTGTTTTTTTTTATTTAATAGCTGATTCTTTGATCGTTTGGAGATATTAATAGAATTTTAATTTAAAATTTAGAAAAAAAGTTAATGATTTTTAAAAATACTTTTGCTAAGGAAAAATCCAAATTAATCAGAGATTGCTAATAAAAAAACATCCGGCGCTTTTGGAGCATTCTATGTACATATTATACAGCTTAAATATTTACGTTTTACTCGTATAGGTATATTATTTATGCATTGATTAAGAGAATAAAATAGAATTGAATGAGAAGGATCACTGCAAAAATGTACGTTACATTTACGACTTCGACTTTAAATTTTACAATTTTACAGAAAATACAATAATTCATTTATCACGCTTAATTAAAATAAATCCGTTTTTCGATCTTATCGGTTTTCCGCTCTCAGAGTTTCCAGTTTTGTAAATCGCATCGCAAAAGGTATTAATGAACGAACTCGTTGTGTTTTGCAAAAATTATATATGTATATACCGCGCGCGTTTAATGCGATTAGCGCGAATCTGAATAACTTTTCCCAAACGATTATCGAGTTTCGCTCGTTTTCCCGGCCGAATTTAATTCGCTCATCGCTGGTATCGAAATAATACACCGCGGAATAAAATCGCACGATGACGTTTGCGCGATGACAGAACTATTTCCGAATCGACGCGCGCGATTTATTCGCGATATTTATGCTTTTTTCCGCGACACAAAATGCATCAAAATGCATTTTCACATGTGTTACATGTGCTTAACTCTTCAGTCGGTATTCGACCATGCACGTGGTAAGTTCTTCGGGTTTTATCAACCCACGGTCACGCCGAACCTCCGAATTCGATCATCTGTACCTATCGTTGGACGATGTAAACTTGGTATTTTTAAAAAAATAATCTTTATTTTTATCTTTTTTTAATAGTATAAACCTATGGTACGAATCGTAAATTAATCGCGCAATTTTGATCGAGAGTTTATATGTCAGTTACTTATAAATATGTCAACTTTGATTGACACCATCGATGATGAATCGAATCTCGTATGCCGTCATTAGGGCTTATTACGTATTACGGTGACCGCTATATTCGTTTCGGCGACGGAATTAGATCCGAAGAAACGAGAGACGTAAAGTCCTGGCAAGCGATAGTCGTGGATTCGCGCCAGAGAGTGATTTACTCTCAAGAATGCGTGTCGAGAACGCTTCGTTTCATCCGATTCGTCGTCGCCGATCTCAAACGGTACCTTGTTCCGTTTATTTTTCTTGCAGTCAACGTGATATATCGTGTCAGAGAAAGAGAGAGAGAGAGAGAAAGAGATTTCATCGCACTTTGTACAGGCCAAAGCTTCACAGATTCGAGGTAAAAGGAAAATATTTCTTTCAGATTTAAATTTATCTTTCGCGAATTCCCTCTCAGAACTGGACCGCGTATAAACGCGCGAGATTTCGCGTCAGATTTCATGCTTAAATTTTTGCGCGACGAAATGGCGCGCGAAAATTGCGCGATGAGAAGCAACGAAATGTAGCTTACGGAGAGAACGCTCTCTCCGCGAATTGCGAAAGACTCGGCTTCGTGCATAATGCATTGGCACTTCGCCGATGAGTCGCCGATAATATCTTTACGCTCTCTGTCAATATCGTCGAGGTCATCGCGCGCTCTTTTTCGCAACAGCTAGGCAGCTGGATTTTGTTCATCTCCGA